GAGGGGGGGGGGGGGGGGCAGAGAGGGAGAGCAGAGAGGAGAGTGAGAGGGAGAGGAGAAGAGGCAGAGACAGAGAGGAGAAGAGAGGGGGGGAGGGAGGGAGAGGGAGAGAGAGTTAGCACCCCGAGAGAGTTACCCATCGTCCCGCTCGATAGCCTGACGTCGGTTACTTAGGGGTGTAGCGCTTCCTTTCGAAGAGTCGCTCGCTACTACTGCTACTAGGCGGCGACGATGCTCGTCGGATGCTACGTCGGCGAGAGCGGCGGCAGCCAGGCGGTCTCCGTCATGGCGTGAAAGCATGGCGTGAGCATGGCGTGGAAAAGCCTTACGGCGCCCGCGGCGCGAGAGAGAGCCACGGACGAGACAAAAAGAGCGGATTGCGGCCGAAGTTGGAAGAGAGCGCGGGACGGCGGTCCACCTTTGGACAGGGACAGGGACAAGGGCCAGGAGGACAGGGCTCAGGGCTCAGGCGTGGTTCTCGGGACTCTTGCGGGGAGACCGAGGGAGCAGGGGGGCGCTCTTTTTGTCGAGGAAACGGCCCGGGGGAGAGGTGCGACACCGATGCTCGAGCGTTGGCTTCGGGCGTGTTTGGTTGGGGGAGGGGGAGGATGGAGGGTGTGGACCGTGAGTTGAGGAAATCCGGGGACGCGACCCACTTCGCCACAGACGGTCCCGCGCCTCGCCGCTAAGACAGCTATATAGTGTACAGTACACTCGACCGCGGCTCGTGTGCGTGTACCGTACTCCGTACCGTAGTACCGTAGCCGTCCGGAGTGAAAAGTCCAACGCGCTCGTCGGTGGCGGCGTCCCCGGATTTCGCCAAGCTCGGAGAACCTCGACAGCGCCTTCGGTGGCATGCAGCTCTTTGCGCCTGAAGCCTGGAGTGCAGCTCCTCTGCTGCTCACACGCTCTGCACAGTTGGCACAGCCTACTGTGCGGCTGCCACAGCTGTGACAGCGATGGGCTCGCCCCCACTGCTGTCCCTCAGTCACTATCTTGTGCTGCGCGACACTGCTCGGCTGGTAGCGTGGTTTTACCTCACACCCATGGTCTCACAGCGCTTGTTCACATCAGCCCTGAGGTCAGATCCTTCTCCTCTGTTGATAAAAACACTGTCTACTCGCTGGAGCCGAGCAGGAGGGCCCGGCGCACAACCCCTGGTCAACTCACGGTCCACACCCCGTATATTGAGACAGGAGTCGACGCCCGGAGAGGGGGACGATGCTCGACGGGGTTCGGCGCGGCCCCAACGTGTGCAACGAGGTACGCCACGGTTCCCTTCTCCCCTGGGGACCGTGGCGACGACCGTCGCCCCGGACTGGGTCGCCAACAACAAAGCTAGCGCAAGAGAACTGCGACCTTTTCTGAGAAACTTTTACCATCTGTCGAGCCGGTAGTAGTGGTACTTCTCTCTCGCTCTAACGTCTCCGTCTACCTGCCGCCCGGTGCGCACTTCAAGCTGGACAGCCATATCAGCTGCGCCTCCACCATCAAAGTGACCGTCGCGAGCAGCGGCGAGGGCGCGACGCTCGACGGCCAGGGAGAGACCGGGCTCTTTTACCTCGAGGGCGGCTGCAGCCTCACCCTGCGGGGGCTGACGCTCGTCAACGGGAGGGCGGGCAACGGCGGCGTTGTGAGCGCTTACGGCGCAGGCGACGTCGAGATCATCGAGTCGACCGTCAGGGACTGCTCGGCTACCTATGTGCGCCGCGTAGAGCTGGCCGCCGCCCTGCAGCGCCGCACAGCACAGCAGGGCGAGAGGTAGAGAGGGTCACGGCTGCCTCACCCCGCTCTCTCCTCGCAACCGCAGGAGGGCGGCGTCGTCTACGCGCAGAACAGCGGTGCGGTCTCGATCATCGACTCAGATGTGTCGGACTGCTCTGCTGGCTATGTGCGCCGCGTAGAGCTAGCCGCCCTGCAGCACCGCACGGCAGTGGGGCGAGAGGTAGAGAGGGTCACGGCTGTCTCACCCCGCTCTCTCCTCGCAACCGCAGGAGGGCGGCGTCGTCAGGGCGTTTCGCACCGGTGCGGTCTCGATAATCAGCTCGACCGTCGCCGGCTGCTCGGCTAGGCAGGCCGGCGGCGTCGTCCACGCGTATCGCAGCGGTGCGGTCTCGGTAATCGGCTCGGCCGTGTCGGGCTGCTCGGCTGGCAATGTGCGCCGCGTAGAGCTAGCCGCCCTGCAGCGCCGCACGGCAGCAGGGCGAGAGATAGGAGGACCACGGCTGCCTCACCCCGCTCTCTCCTCGCAACCGCAGTGCCGCCTCCCTGCAGCGCCTCACGGCAGCGAGGCGAGAGGTAGAGAGGGCCGGCCTGCCTCACCCCGCCCTCTCCTCAACCGCAGCTCGGCGGCGTCGTCTACACATTTACCGGCGAGTCCCTCTCCATCGCGGGTGTCGACTTCATCAACAACTCGGCTTCAACAGGCTCGGTGCTGTACCTGCAAGGCATCAAACAACGTTCCTCCATCAGCAACGCCTCCTTCACCGGCAACGACGGTGTCATCGCCGAGGCGCGCCGGAGGCAGAAGACTGCTGTAGCAGACCTCGTGTTCACCTTGGCTTGTTTTGCATTAGGCCCTTCTACTACGCATGCCCAACCACTGTCGAATGAGCTCCCTCCCCCTCTTTGTGCCGGGCGACGCCTCAACCCAGACGCTTGTCTTCTCGAAGCCGGTGGTCCTATGGGCCTCGCCAGCCAACCCGGGCGCCGCAGAGCTGGCTCGCGAGCTTGCCAGGGCCTTTCCCGGCCTCACCGTGTCCACCGTTGCGGACATTGGCTCTTCTTCATCAGCACGCCCCTCCACGGCGCCTCGCGGGCTGGCACGCCGAACGCGCCGCGCCGGCGATGTGACCCACATGCTGTTGTACCTCAATCAGAACACCTGGTTAGAGGACGACGGCGAGCGGCTGGCAGAGCAGGTCAAGCAGGCGCGCGAGGACAAGCTTCAGATCGTCATGGCGCACGAGAACGACCCGGACCTCGGCGGCTGCGCGTTTGACAGAATGTTCGAAGTCACGCCGCAGGAGCTCATCAAGGACGGGCTGTATCGCGATCTTGCGCGCTCCTTCTTTCCCGGCGCATACCGCGAGGTGGTGCCGCTCTAGGTCTGGATGCGACACGGATTACACCGTCAGATAGAGGGGTGCCTCTCTAGGTGTCACGCGTGCTTCTGGCGAAGGCACTGGGCGCGACACCGGCCAAGGCAAAAGAGCTCCGGCCAGAAATCCAGCGGGTAGCTCGCTCTGGCAAGTCCCACGTCCAGCAGCTGCGACGAGCGGCCTCCTCAGCCAGCCACAGGATCGGCCGGCTGAGCAAAACACCGGCCGGCTCTGGCGGCAGGAGAGGCAGCAGCAGCTCCTGCGATGCCGGTGCGGCGGGTGCCGTTGCAGTCACAGTCTAGCGATCGCATGTAGCGCCTAGCTCTTGCGCGGCCACATGAGAAAATGGTATACTCTAGGAAACGAAGTGAGCCACAAGACTTCACTATCCGACACGATACAAGCTCGGACTCGCGGCCTAAATGTGCGCCGCGCCATCCAAATCCACGCGATGCTCCAAAGACAGGCGCAAGCGTCAACACGCACGCTCGCCGCGCTTGATCCGGGACGCGTGGCCGAGCCCAAGAGCTTCTGGCCATTCGGCCGCCACAACCAGAGCAACAAGGGTGGTGTGAGCCCGGCAAAGATGGATTCAGTAGCGCCGCGCCCGCCGCGCGCAGCAGCCAAGGCAATCGCCAGGCGAGCCCGACGGGCAAAGCACACGATGCTCGTAGTCGCAGTCGCACATCACTGATGGCCCGGCGTGTAGCCGGACGGCACCGATCTCTCGTGGCCTGCCCTGAGCATGCGAGGCGCGAACCACGTCGGAGGTTGACGGCGACAAGACTAGGGCAGGCCGCAAGCATGAACGTGGAAGCCGATAGAAACGAGAGTCGAGACGCCTTGGGAGAATGCCGAGGTCTCTCTCACTGCTGCGTTCAATGAGCCCACAACACGGCAAAAGGCTGGTAGCAGGAACAGGAGGAGCGTGGAGTATATTCCACAGTGACTGATTCGGTGCAGCACCTGATCCTTGAGCGTCGTTTGCACCATGCGATTGAATTCGTCCAAGCCGTCCACTCCGCGACGCGCGTAGATGGTGGCGATGGAGGAGTAGATCTCCTCGCGATCAGCTGCACCCTCACGTCCGGCCACCCTCACGTCAAACGACTCGAGGGTCTGCAACAGCGCAATCCGCTGAAGAGCCGTGTACGGGGGGGGGCGCCAACCAGAGTGGCGCCGGCTTTGAGTGGAACAAAGTCAAAGATAGCAAAGCCAACGCCGATAATGGGGAGCAACTGTGAACTGATTTTTCCACCAGTCTTCGGCCAGTCCGACTCTGCTGCTATCCGGGCATGTCGCCGTGCAAGCAAAGCGTCATGACGAGCGAGCAAACGCCAAAGGCCACCGCCGCCCCTGCTATTCCGACAAAGGTGACAATGGCGATGCGCAGCGGCAGGAACACCACCGGCTTCCGCTCGGTGCTCCATGGACAAGTCTCGAAGGTCGAAGGAGTTAGGAGAGCCGAGTGGCGAGTGCGCGGCTGGACATAACCCCCCGTAGGACAAAACGCCGCCCACGCCAACGCAAGGCCAGAGAGATGGGACGCGATTTGGCCCTTGTCGGATTCGATAAAAGAATTTTACGTGCGGTTCGTCACACGCCCGCCTCATCCCGGCTTGAGGTCGGAGGCCGCCGGGCCGGTCAGCCCGAGCGCCTCCGCCGCCTCGTCGCGCAGCAAGCCGCGCACGACCTGGTAGTGGTGGTTGATGGACGGGATGGTGTGGACGCGGTACGCGGAGCCGCACGCGCCGCCGGGGGCGGGCAGCGCGTACACGAGCCGCCGGATACGCGAGTGCACGAGCGCCATGGCGCACCTGGCGCGGCACGAGGGCGCGTCGGGGACAGCTGCAACCTTCGACCGAGAGGGAGCCGGGAGGGAGCCGGGAGGGAGCCGAGAGGGAGCCGAGTCTGAGCCGAGTCTGAGCCGAGTTTGAGCCGAGTCTGAGCCGAGATGATGACGGGGGCCGAGGGGAACGGAAATGGAGCGGAGATGGAGCGGAGATGGGGCGGAGATGGGGCCGAGTCTGAGCGCACATCGGGCACGGCTCCACTGTGACGAAGACGTCGCAACCGTTGCACAAGTACTGATCCGGACCTAAGGAACATGTCCGACACATGTCCGAGACATGTCCGAGACATGCGTCCGTTGCACCAGTCCTTGGTCCGGGCCGTCCAAACAGCGCCCCGGGCCCGACTCGGCCTCGCCGGCGCCACGCTTGCCGCCCGCCGCGCAGCGCCGCCGCTCCACCTATCAACGGCAGAGAGCCCCGCCTCTTTCCCGGTGTGGCGGCAAGGGAGCGCGCGGGCGGGCAGGGGGGGGCGCGGGGGGCAGCGGGGGCGCGGGGGCAGGGGGGCGGGGCGGAGGCGGTAGCGGCGGCGTGCGGGCAGGAGCGTGCGCTGCGGCGGCGGCGAGGGCGGTGGCGGTGGCAGCGGTGGCGGAGGAGGCGGTGGCGGGGGAAGAGGCGGCGAGGGCGGAGGTGGCGGTGGCGGAGGCGGCGTTACGGGGGCGGGGGCGCCTGCGCTCGCGCGACGGTCGCCACGCCAACCATGATCGCGTGCCGCAGCGGGTGGGGCTTCGCCTCCTCCTCCGCCCTTCCCGCCTCCCCAAGCCTCGCCTCCTCCTCCGCGCTTCCCGCCTCCCCAAGCCTCGCCTCCTCTCCCAGCCTGCCATCGCGCAAACACGCCGCCTCGCCTCCTCTGCCAAGACAAGGGCCGCCGCAAGGGCTATGCCCACCGCCAAGGCCGGTGACGCGCCAACACGCTGCACCGCCAGTGCCAGCAGCGCCGCAGCCAGAGCCGGCTGCACTGGCGGCTGCAGCAGCGCCGTTCCCTGTGGCGGCGCGCGACGCAGCTCCGCCTATGGGACATGTCTCGGACATGTCGTCGACGTGTCCTGGACATGTCGCCGCCTCGGCCTGCATGTGCGCCTATGGGACATGTCTCGGACATGTCGTGGGCATATCCCGCCACTAGCTGTGGCGCGCGATGCAGCGGGGCCGGTGACTCCGTCTGGGCACGCGGCGAGCGGCTCGCCTGAGGGGGAGATGAGGGGAGGAGATGAGGGAGATGAGGGGCCGAGAGGAGCCGAGAGGAGCCGAGAGGAGCCGAGAGGAGCCGAGAGGAGCCGAGAGGAGCCGAGAGGAGCCGAGAGCAGCCGAGAGGAGCCGAGAGGAAACGAGGGGAGCCGAGAGGAGCCGAGAGGAGCCGAGAGGAGCCGAGAGGAACGAGGGGAGCCGAGAGGAGCCGAGAGGAACCGAGGGGAGCCGAGAGCAGCCGAGAGGAGCCGAGAGGAACCGAGGGGAGCCGAGAGGAGCCGAGAGGGTAGAGTTGAGTGCGCGAGCGCCCATTGGTTTCGCGATCGCGACGCCGACGGGGCGGCCACCGCTGCTTGCGGAGCGCGCCGCCATTGCGATCGCAAGCCTGTAGGGTGGCGGAGGGCGGGGTGGAGCCACGGAGGTGTGACGACAGTGTGGCCGAGGTGTGGCCGAGGCATGGACGAGGCATGTGCATCTCGGCGTCATCTCGGCTCCCTCTCGCCGCATCATCGACTCCATCCACGCGACCTCTGCAGGCGCGGGAGGCGGGTCCGGCAGCCACGTGGCGAGCGCGCGGACGGCGGCGGAGGGGTGGAAGACGAGCGGCCACACCCGCCCCCACGCCTCGAACTGGGCGCGCGTCGCCGGCGGGTGCCGAGGCACGAAGTGGCTCGCCGGAGGCTGCGGCAGGCTGTCCAACGCCGCCGCGACCGCGGCAGGCAGCCCTCCCGCTAGCGCGGCGCGCTGCTCCGGCCCGCCGGCCCAGAGCAGGACGAGGCGGGCGTCGGAGCGGCCGGCGGCGGCCGCCGCGCTCCCGCCTGCCGCCGCTGGCCGGTGCACCCGCTTCAGGTGCTGCAGCGCCGGCTGCGGCAGCGCGTCGGTCAGCGCGCGGACGAGGACGGAGAGGCTCTGCGGCGGGACCTGGGCGACGCTCACCTCCATCAGCTCGAGGTCGCGCTCCGCCTCGGGCGGCGGGACGAAGGCGAGCGAAGAGGCGTCAAGCACGCTCATGGGCCGCGGGGAAAAGAATTCTTACGCCCGCGGTGGAGGCAGGCAAGAGGGCACCCAGCGGCCAGCTACACGACGCCCTTGGCGACGCCGCGATGGTTAACCCTCGGTCAAAGCATGCTACACGACACAAATTCCTACTCAAACGTTTGATCAAATGCCTCCGCTCGGCGTGGGGCATGATCATCGAGATGGAGCCGACTGCACACCTCAGTTTTTACAGTAATCCAAAACAACCTGACGTGGCGGCGGCAAACATCGGCAGGGGGCACAGGCGCCTTGTTGCCGATTTGAAGCTCACGAGCTCGCTTGCGAGCCAGGGCAAGGACACGGCCGGCGACGGAGAGCTCGGCTGGAAGGGGGCCTATGTGCGTTTTGGCAACACGGAGACCGGGCTGCTCAAGTTGGTCAAAGGGCGCGGCAAGTGGTCTCCGTCGGGAGCGACGGCAGCGGCGGTGGCGGGGGAGGAGGAGGAGGCCGAGGAGGAGGGGGAGGAGGGGGAGGAGGAGGATGCCCCCAAGGGAAAGCTCCAGCAGCTGGATGGCGATTACCGCTTTGCGCGGGAGCAGGATTGCGATCTACGTTTGTTTGATTTTGAGGCTTTCGGAGGCTTTGGAAAGGAGGTTCGCAGCACCCTGAGGGAGGCGGCGAACCAGCTGAGCAACAAACTTTCGCACGCTCAGCACCTGGACGAGGTCACATGGACCACCAAGAACTGGCACGGGCTGCAGATGCAGCGCTTGTCTGTCGTCCTCCACACCGCCGTGGCGTGGCAGACGGTGAACGAGCTAGCGTGCGGGGAGAGCGGCATTGTGCATGGTGCGGAGTGCATTGCCGTTCTTAGAGGAGTCGACACACCGGCTCACGGGGAAAAGAAATTTCCCCACCCAACTCTCTTAACTCTTTCAGGCACACATTTCGAGCGAGTGAAAACCAACTCCTGAGCACGGCGCCGCAGGCGCCTGTTGATAGGTCCAGGTGATAGCCCTGGATGGGCAATGCATTCGCCTACCTGGGCCTCAGATCGCCCGACCGCGTCCCGGTCGCCAGTGCTCTGTGGTCGGATTTGTGACGCCGCCGCACCGCGCCGCGGCCGGGGGCCCGCCGGAGGACGAGGATGGCCGTGACGGACCGGGACGAGCTCTGGGAGGTTCAGTGTCAGTGAGTATATTGTAGAGGCCACCCATGTGCACAATATCTTGACTGAGAGCTAAGCCAGGGGAGGCGATGCCGGGGCCGTACAGCAGCTTGATGGTGCTTCGCCGGCGTAGAAGCGGCCGCGGAGGGCTCCGGGTGCCTGAAAAAGACGGAGTTACGTGGGCTGTGGGAGAGTTACTGTCGACTCAAACGACACTGTGCCGTGATCCTCTCATATGTGGCTAAATAATTGACCGAGCCAAAAAAAAGTTCCACCGCTACGACTGGAGATATATCGAGATTTGGTCACCATGACCCTTATGAAGCAAAAGGGTTAAAATCCCTGTGTGGTGGCGGCGTGCCGTCCTCCCATCCCTCCCTTGGGTTGTACGTTTTCTTTCTTTCTTTCTCGCACGACAGTGCCGTCCTCCCATCCCTCCCTTAGATGGTCTGTTTTCTTTCTTTTTCTTTCCTCGCACGACACTGAACAAAACAAAGAGTTGTTTGGTATTGCTAAAAATCTCTCTCGACACTGGGCACGGGACTGGTGCGCACTGGCACTAACACAGGGAAAAATTACGAGTTCTCACTCCCACGACACTGAGACGGGACTGGCACGATGTACGCCCTTGCACGACACTAGGCACGGGACTGGCGCGCACTGGCAAATTTCATTCGTTAATGTGAATAATGATGCAGGTCGCCTGGTGTTCGGCGACGCTCTCGCGCTCGTAGGTTTGCGGGAGGACGCTGTTCAGCTTCGCGTTGCGCCGCCACGCCGGACGACGACAGCGAGGCCGTTGATCGAGGCGACCAAGGCCTTCATGGCCAAGGGAAACGGCTTCTACTCTCCAAGGCGGATCCCGCACTCTCTTCGCAGACGACTTCTTTCTACTTCGAGGGCGAGATTCTCGGGCCGAGATGAACAAGCCGGGGTGTACATCCAGAACTTGGGTTGGAGACGTTCAAGCTATAATACGAGGCTTCCCAAACATCGACCCGAACGCGCCGACTCCTTCGGACAAACAATCTCTCCCCCCCCTTTTTTCCCCTTCGGAGCACTTGGAGCACTTGGAGTGCAGTTATCAGCCTCACATCCAGGGCCGGGGAGCTAAGAAGCGCACCCAGCGGGCCGGATGATCGGGATCGGGCAACGGGCTAGAGAGCCCTGACCCCTAGGGGGGGGTGCGCGTTCGCAGGGAAAGGGCTTCGGCATCGATGTTTGGTAATTGCTAAAAATCTCTCTCTCGATGCAAGAGAGAGAGAGAGTCGTGATTTCTTGTTGGTCTTCAAAAATCTCAACAACACAAAGTACTCGACAACACATCCAGGCCCCAAATGACGTGTGAGTGTTAGAGTTGTTTGGTATTGCTAAAAATCTCTCTAAGTACTCGCTCTCTTTTGTGTCCCACCATGCAGAGCGCATCTCTCTCTCTCTCTTGTGCGAGGCGTGAACCGCGCCATTCGCTCTCACCTGGCAACCCTGTCTGCACGTCTCGCGCGCGCGTGAACAGGGCCAAAGCTGTCCCCCCCCCCCCCCCCCGCAAACTTTAAACCACCATAAAGATCAGTCTGCCAGGGCTCCAGGCCCCAAATGACGTGTGAGTGTTAGAGTTGTTTGGTATATTGCTAAAAATCTCTCTCTCTCGATGCAAAAACATAACAAATCTCTCGAGCATGTGGTTCATCACTGCACTTGGAGCACTTGGAGTGCAGTTGGCAACGTCACACCCAGCGAGGGCCGGGGAGCTAAGAAGCGCACCCAGCGGGCCGGGTATAGGGGAATTTTTCCGTGCGGCGGCTCTCAATAAAAACCAAGTGCGCGTGCGTGGCGGCGAACCGCAATATGGCCCACGCGCTCGCGGCTCGCCAGGAGATGGAGTCGGCGATCAGCTCCTCAAAGAACGGCCCCTTGCTGCGCGCAATCTGCACGTCCGATGTCGCGGCGGTGGCCAAGAATCTCGCCTTGCCGAAGCTGGACGAGCGCCTCGACACGCCCAAAGCCGACACCGCGCTCACCTGGGCGGTGCGCCACGGCCAGCGCGCCGTGGTTGAGTACTTGCTGAAGGGAGGCGCGTCCGTCGAGGCCACGTCGGGCGGCGGCGGCGGCGACGGGACGCCTCCCGGCTCCTCGCCGCTACTCATAGCGGCGATGCGGGGCAGGACAGAGTGCCTTTCGCTCCTGATCAGCGCGGGTGCGGATGTTGGCAAGGCCCGGGAGGCAGACGGATGGACGCCGCTGTTTGCCGCCGCGGCGGACGACCAACCCGAGTGCGTGCGCCTGCTCCTTCGTGCCGGTGCCGTCGACGAGGGAATCGGGAAGCTCGAGATGACGGGCAACATGAATGGCCTCCTCGCTGCAAAACTCAAGCGCCTCGCGGCGAACGGC